TTTAACTTGGAATTGGTCCGTTCTTGAGTCTAAATTGGCTGCGTCGAAACAAGATTTCCAATGGTACTAATTAGAGCTTTAGATTCATCTTTTAGCTCAAGATATTCAAGTTTTAGTAAGGTAGTGTTAGAATTTTGTTCGAACCGGGATAGGGTTTCCCTTTCTTCGATTTCAGGACTTGATATCTTTGCCATCCGGACTCCGAATCATGCGATTCTTGAGTCCATCTTTGTTAATTTTTCATTTTCTATCCAGTGGTGTACATGTGGGTTCTCATTTCAGTTTGGAATTAACATTTTACCCTTTTAGCCTTAAGTGCTCGTTTTTCTTCGTCTGGTCGTTTCTCCTTCGTCCGGACTCCGAATCATGCGATTTTTGAGTCCATCTTGATTGGGTTTTCGTTGTCTTTCTAGTGATGTGCTCGGTGGCACCCGAATCTATATTCTCAGAAATGACTATCTTGCCCTTGGGGACTTAATTGTTGTCTTTCCGATCTCTTGCTTCCGCACTTGTTTTCCTTGAGTTCCATGGCTTCATGGGGAGTCATCATGGTGCCTTAGGGATGATGTACATCTCTTGAGGCCATTTTGCTTCTTCTGCTTCCGCATTTCTGGATCCGGTTTGGGTTATCACAGTAGACACTGGGTTGAAAAATCCAGGGTCGTCACACTAAAATTTTAGTGGGCTTTGGTTTTGACAAATGTACCCATGAAATATGGGCTTAATGTTTAATTAAGTTATTTAATTGGCCAAGCTTGGTCCAATTAAATTATTCAATTAGCCCAACCCAGATGATTAAATAAATAAAAAAAGATAAGTATTCCTAATAAAATATATTTGGAATAATTATATTTAAGGATAATTATCATAATATAACCAGTCCGACCCAGTTATGATTTTATCCTTATCAGAAGATGACACGTGTCATCACCATATTAATCCAAGAAGCCTATAAATAGAGGCCTGAATGAAGAAGGAAAGGGTACACAAATTTAGAATTTAGAAGTCCAGAAATCTATAGACTCAGAAATCCAGAGACTCAGAAGTCAAAGACACAAATTTAGAATCCAAACCCAAAAGCGAAGAACAACAAACACATCCAATCATGCCGTTCTTTATCAAATTTTACGGTGATCAATAACAAGCGCATCCAAAGACGTGTCGTTCTTCATCCAAATTTCACGGTGATTCAAGATCAAGCTCGTGCAGCCCTTGAATCCAACCAACTAAACAGGAGATCGAATCAGAGAGCCTTATTCTATTCTTTCTAAAGAATATTACAGAAAATTGTACCCCATTTATCCAACTTAATCAAATATTATTCTATTTGCTCCATATTTTGTTTCTATTGCAGACTTACAAAATTTGTGTGTACAGAAAGAACCGCAGCATTTTTAGTCCAAACGATACCATATTTATTAGTTAATTAAGTTGTTGATGTGGCACCTTACCAGCAGTAAGATTAAATACTTATAGATGGTAGGAGACAAATTTCCTTGGAAAGGATCCATTTCCAAAATGGTCAAATTTTGGGTTTTTGCAAATGGGTTTTGATTTATTATCGATTTTAGCTATAAAGAAACTTTTTTTCTTAACTGGGTCGGCTTTGAGATCTTGAGTACTGACACTCATTATCTATGTAGAAGAATTGACGAGGAATAAGAAGAACCCTAACCTTTTCTCTCTACAATTTTCTACTCTCTCTCTTGTTTTGTTTTTATATTACTAGATGTGTAATAGGCATAAAAGTAAATTTACAATCAATATTTTTTGAATTAAATATGAATTAAAATAATGAGGATAGAAGAGTAATTTCATTATTTCGGTCATCGCATATGAATGCCGGCCACTCGTAGAGGAGGTAACTAAAATTATACAAACTAGAAAGATATGTGTGTGTATGTGTGTAATATTGTTAGCATTAGTATATCCAAATAAGTCCAAATTAGTTAAATTTATTACTAGTATTAGTCCATCCAAAACAAATTCAAGTCAACTAAATTTATGTTCAATTATTAGCTTATTTCATTGGCAATGAATCCGCCCTCGACTGTAATTTACGTATCGCCGGTGACTCATTTTTCCATCTTCTCTCCTACTGACAAAAGTAGACGAGGTTCTTTATTTCATTTCCTAGTACACGTACATTGTTACCCCCACATCGTAAAAGAAAATGAGTCACAAATTTTTTTGGAAGTATCTTGTTTTATCATTTGTATCAATTTGGGTTTTTTACAATGTGATCGTTTGCTCTTTCCATTCAAAAATTTTGATTGCCTTTGAATGATATGGTACGATAGTATTAAATTACAATAAAAGAAAATGAGTGAAGCAGCAAATTCGGTAGAATCCTATTTTATCATTTGAGATAAGACCACTTTTCTTTAGCCATGATGTGTATGTGTGCTTATGGATTAAACCTCTCTCTATTATAGTTTAATTGTCACTATTTTCTAATTTTTTGGCCACTAAAACTTTTCATTGTTGTTTGACTCGTTCTATTAGTTGTATAAAATTTATATTGTTGTTGGTTTTATGTATATATTATTTACTATATATATTATTATTTATATTTGTATAGAATTTATAGATTTTATTAATTTATTTAGGGAGATGATATTCAGATTTCACTTTTCTCCAATTACGCTCCATTTATTTTTTTCTTTTAAAAGAAATGGCAAGAAGGTCCTTAAATTCATTATTACATCATCCCTTAATTTCTAATGTTATAACTACCATTTATGCAAGTTTAACTTTTTTGTACCTTACTTACTTTCTTTATTATCTTTTTGTTTTTTTCGAAAATTCCCTGAAAGAAAATAATTTATTCCATACAAATAATTTTATTTTTGACAGTCAAAAGAAGATATTTATTCAACAAAGTTAACTTTTTTCAATCCAGTCAAAAAATGCAACTTTTTTTTTTTTTTTTGATAATTTTTTATGATCCTGTCAAAATAAATAATTTATTCAATAATATATATATATTTAATCACAATATAAATAACAATATATATTTATATATTTAGACAATCCTGCTCCATATCCGTTCGATTGTCCTCCCTACCTACAATGTTGACTTAAATGTGTTAAATGACTGTTATGCGGTTGTACTTTCTTTATAGAGAAAATAACATTTCAAACTAGGCATTATCCGATATTAAGTAAATATTAAGCATCAGCACATCAACAGCCAACATTGATTTTACTAAACTATTTACATGAATTTTTTAAAACTACTAACATAGCTGTTAGAGCATATCCAGCGATCTATTAAAAAATCGATTTGCGTAAAATATACATTGCCACATCACCAATACATAACCCTTTTACATATTAGTGATGTGGCAGTGTATATTTTACACAAAAAGATTTTTTAATAAATCGCTGGAGATGCTCCAACAATCATGTTTTAGACAACCCTTTTACACACCCACGCAAGTATATTTTTTTTCTCCTCCCCCTTTCCCACTCTCGGTTCTCTTTTTGTCTCTCATTCCTTTACCCTTCTTTATCTCCCACTTTTAGAGCGCCATAGAGAAGAATATGCAACTGGCGGCAATGTAAGAAATGTTCGACCATCTTTTATTTTTCTTTTTTAATAAAAATAATTTGATTTATCACTTTCATTTCATCTTATCTTCTGTAATCATCGTTGTAGATTCTAGGGTTTTTTTTAAATTTTTTATCTTTTTACATTCTATTCTAATGAGATAAATATGTACTAGTCAAATATTATATATATATTTTAATCACAATTTTATATAATTGTTGTTTGATACAATTATACAAGTTATTATTATTTTTTTTTTCTCTTTTTGTGATTAGTCAATTAATTCAATCGCAATTGTTATTGCATATTTTTTTTATTTTTGTAGAAAGTGAAATATAGGGGAAAATTATTATTTTTTTCCTAATTGAGAAGGATTGGGACGTGAGGTTTAATCGCGAAAAAGTAAATGAATCAAATAAGTTTGTAAAAGTTATGTATGACCATAGGTATGATATGTGGTTAGTTGTTATTGGAGGATTTTTTTTTTTTTTACACAAAAAGGTATAAAATAACTATTGGAGCTAAAAATAGTTAGTACAAAATTTTTGTGTAAATTTATTATGACACATCAAATTTACACAAAAATATATATACAACGGTTGGAGATGCTTAGATGTCTTCCACCGTGACCACCGTGACCAATGACGGAGTCAGTATATGCGAACATGCCCCCGGCCTGACCCCACCCTATATTATATATATAATTTTTTATAATTTTTTGTACATATATATAGACATTTGTATATTATGACCCCTAAATTTTCAAAATTTTCTTTAATTTTTCATTTTTCATTTTTCATTTTTTTCCTCATTTACTCTTTAAATTTCTTTAATTTCTTATTTTTTTTAATTTTTTTTTTAAAAAGTCAAATTTTCCATACTCGTGCTTAGTTATTTTGTTTCAAAGTATTATCATTCTTCTTCTCCCTTTTCTTCTTCTTTCTATTTTTCCTTCTATTCCTAAAATTCTTCAAAAAAAAAAAAAATTCACTGTGCCATCGTCTGCATTTAGATCCTCGCTCCGCCACTAACCGTGGCGATCTACTTCATCGGACGGCTAAGATCGCAACGTCGACTTGGGGTTGGACAACACCTTTTCTTCCTCTGCTGAAGAAATATTGCAAATCAACTGTTGTAGGGCCCGTTCCAGTACACAATTGAGATTTTAGATAACATCTGCACCGTAGAAACTTGTACAAGCCCGCAACTTTTATTGATCAGATTACATGTGGTCCAGAAACGTACTGTAAATATGATGCACATGATTTTTGACGGAGAGAGAGTAGTCTGAGAGAGACGTCTAATAAATGATGGGAGTAATTGCAAGGAGAGAGAGAGAGAGAGGGAAGAGAGAGAGAGAGAGCATTCAATGCAGTCACGTTTGGATCACCAGATTGCTAACGGTAGTAAATGAAAAATTAATGGCATGAGGTTCATTTTTATTGTGTTAAAATGACAAAGAGAGAGAGACACACACAGTGTTTGGTGAAAGTACTGAATCAGAGTAGTGAAAGAAAATGAGCGGTTGTTGGACCTATTTTGCGCTGTTATTACTTTCCTCGGCTCTTTATTTCCAGTCATTTCGATGGTTTTAGTTCTTTGTTTTCATCATTCTCTTCACATTATTCGTCTCTTTTAGGTACTCACTCCTCTTTGCTTTAAAGGTTTTTTGGGTCCTTTGGCTTTTCCTTTTTCTCTCTCTCTTTCTGTTTGAATTGGCATTATCAAAGGTTTTTATCTGGGATTTTTTCAAATTGGGTTGATTCTTGGTATCTTGTAAAACTCTTTCCATTTCTTGAGTTCTTGTTGTCTTAAACTTTAAGAAACCATTTCTGGTTCTTTGCAACTTTGGTGTGGTTTAAGCCTGAGGTCTATTCAATTTCTGGGATTACAATGTTGCTGCGTTGAATTTGAAAAGAAACCCTCAATTATGGGAGCTTGAATAATGCTAAAGCTAGGTTAGTCTTCGCATTAAAGGTTTGGTCCAAATCAATATTCTGCTTTGGTTTTCTTTTCCTTTACTCTTCTTTGATCTCTTGCAAAAGTTATAGTAGTCTCAGTCCAAGATTCTGTGTTTATCTTTTTCTGAAATTTTCAGGTTCTAAAGTACAACTGAAGTTTGAAATGTCTCTCACTCTTCTTCACTTTGGGTCTTACATGACATAGATAAAGCCTTTTTCAAGTTCTAATCTGAACTATTGTTGGCTCTTCTTTTTCTGGGTATCTGTCAAACTGAGTTGGAGAGAGAGAGAGAGAGAGATAGAGAGAGAGCATTAGAAATCATGCATCTTTCGCTATGGAAGCCCATATCACACTGTGCAGCTCTAATCACAGACAAGAAGAGCCAGAGGAGAGAGAGTAAGAGAAAGCCATTGGTTTTAAGACAATTGCAGGAAAGCAAGCTCAGGGAGGCTCTTGAGGAGGCATCTGAAGATGGGTCGCTCGCAAAATCGCAAGACATCGATTCTGAGGTTTCCAATCAAGAGAAGAACTTGGGAAGGTCGAGATCTCTTGCGAGGCTCAATGCCCAGAAGGAATTCTTGGTTGCTACTGCGCTTGCTGCAAAAAGACCATTTTGCAGTGAAGAATCCATTCCTGACCTCCGAGTTGCATTCTCTAAGTTCCTCACAATGTACCCAAAGTTCCAATCTTCGGAGAAGATTGATCAATTGAGATCGGATGAATACCAGAACCTCTCGGATTCGTCTGCCAAGGTATGTCTTGATTACTGTGGTTTTGGGTTGTTTTCTTATATTCAAACTCTTGAATATTGGGATTCATCAGATTTTAGCTTGAAGGAAATAACTGCGAATTTAGGCAATCATGCCCTTTATGGGGGTGCAGAGAACGGTACTATAGAACACAACATTAGAACTAGGATTATGGATTATTTGAACATCCCTGAAAATGAGTATGGCCTTGTTTTCACTGTTAGTAGAGGTTCAGCATTTAAGTTGCTGGCTGAATCATACCCTTTTCAGACGAACAAGAGGTTGTTGACCATGTTCGATCACGAGAGTCAGTCTGTGAATTGGATGGCTCATAGTGCCAAAGAGAAGGGTGCAAAGGTTTATAATGCCTGGTTCAAATGGCCAACCTTGAAACTCTGCTCTAGAGAGCTGAGAAAGCAGATATCAAACAAGAAGAGGAGGAAGAAGGGTTCTGCTAATGGGCTTTTTGTGTTCCCTGTTCAGTCCAGAGTTAGTGGGGCAAAGTATTCTTACCAATGGATGGCGCTAGCTCAGCAGAACAATTGGCATGTATTGCTTGATGCTGGATCTTTGGGTCCCAAGGACATGGATTCACTAGGTTTGTCCCTCTTCCGGCCAGATTTTATTATTACATCATTTTATAGGGTATTTGGCTCTGACCCAACTGGGTTTGGTTGCCTTTTGATCAAGAAATCGGTTATGAAAACCCTTCAAAATCAATCCGGTCATACTGGCTCTGGAATGGTAAGGATTGTCCCAGTTATCCCTCAGTACTTGAGTGATTCTCTGGATGATCTGCATAGACTTGTAGGGATTGAAGATAATGCAGTCAATGGGAATGAAGAATTGATATCTGAAAATCCTGGGGTATCTCAATTACCTGCTTTTTCAGGCGTGTTCACTTCCACCCAGGTCAGGACTGTCTTTGAGACAGAGTTGGAGCAAGATAACAGCTCAGACAGGGATGGGGCGAGCACCATATTTGAGGAAGCTGAGAGCATTTCAGTAGGGGAGGTCATGAAAAGTCCAATTTTCAGTGACGATGAGTTGTCGGATAAATCATACTGGATTGATTTGGGTCAGAGTCCTTATGGGTCTGATTCTGGCCAATTGGCCAAACAAAAATCTGATTCGCCATTACAACCATCATGGTTTTCTGGCAGGAGAAACAATAAGCAACTATCCCCAAGAATTGTACCGAATGTTTCTAAGAGCCCAATATATGATGACAGAAGGGAAAACCTCAGACCACATGATGATCCTGTATTATCTTTTGATGCAGTCGTGTTATCAGTGTCACAAGAGCTGAACCGTGTTAAGGGGATTCCTGAAGAAGAACAGTTTGCAGAAATAGATCCAACCACAGGAAATGGCACACATTTTGTGGATTCCCTGCATCCTGGAGAGATTCAAGAAGAAGTTGAAATTGAAGAAGACTCGGTGCATTCTCTTTCCAAGTTGAGTTCTGCTTTAAATGGAGTCAGACTCAAGGACCATACTTCTGGCTTTTGGCATGATAATCTTGAATGTACTTCAACGCGCTCAAGCTCTAAAATTTGCCGAGAAATAAAGGAAAGTGCTATACGGAGGGAGACAGAAGGAGAATTTAGACTGTTGGAAAGGAGGAAAAATAACAAATACACTGATGGTAGGTTTTTTGGTTTGGAAGAGAATGCTCGAAATGTAAGCATGGGCCATAGAGCATCTTTTAGCTTGGAAGACTGCCAGAAAGAAAGTTCAACAAGCTGCTTGGAACCTGGGGAGATATCTCTAACTAGCGTCGATGATGATTACATGACTGATAGAGAATATGATGATGGGCAAGAGTGGTGTATGGAGGTGCCTGAGATAATCTGCCGGCATCTTGATCATATTAATACGTTAGGTCTCAACAAAACCACCCTTAGACTGAGGTATCTGATCAATTGGCTCGTCACCTCATTACTTCAGCTTCAGTTCCCCAGTTCAGCTGATGGTGTGGGAGTGCCTCTTGTACAAATATATGGCCCTAAGATCAAGTATGAAAGGGGTGCATCTGTAGCTTTTAATGTGAGAGAGAGCATGGAAGGGGGGCTGATTCACCCAGAAGTTGTTCAGAAGTTGGCTGAGAAAAAAGGCATATCTCTTGGCATTGGTATCCTTAGTCACATACAAATTGTAGACAGCCCAAAACAGCATCACGGGGCATTTGGTCTGGAAGATTTAGCCCTGTGCAAGCCAATGACTAATGGCCACCAAAATGGTAAAAAGGTGTTCTTTCGGGTTGAGGTCGTAACAGCATCACTTGGTTTTCTAACCAACTTTGAAGATGTTTATAAAATGTGGGCTTTTGTGGCAAAGTTTCTAAATCCATCATTTGTTGAAGAGGATCGATTATCCACAGTCCCAGAGGACTTTGAAACATAAGATTTGGAGACTCGTATGGATATTTTTATTTTTTTGGTTCATTTCGAAAGAATATGGACCCCTCTGCAATCCCCAGAACGTGGGCATCCTCAAGTCAGGGTTGATTCAAGTACTCTGATTTTGTATGAGATGCTGATGTAAACAGGAGAGCGCGCAAAGGTACTGTTTTTGTGAGGCCTGTTTCTTTTGCTTTCCTTTAGGAGCTCTTCCTTTGGAGAAGATGAATTTCATTTTTTTTTTTTTTCTTTAAATCCTATTTTCAGTTTATATAGTCTGGTTTAAAAACAATTATCAGAGAAGGAAGTTCTTTTGGAATTAAATAGAGTTTTATTAGATTTTCTGCTTTTGTTCTATTAAAGTTGATTACATTGGGTACCTGAATCTTAGTGCTGTTATTTCAACCAAGAAAGCAAACAGTGGCATGTCATGAATGGGGTATTGGGGGTTGATGGAGGTAAAAAACCAAAAAAATCCTTTTCTTTTCCTTTGCTTGCAATAATTTGAAGCCATGATGATGCCTTGACATTAGTGTTTGAATGGGTACAGCTTTTTGCTGGTTGGTCCTAGAGACAGAAATTGTTGTGTTGAGGGAAGGTTATTTGACTTCATTTTTGTCAGATAATGTGGGTTAGGCAGGCTGATGGATCTTGACTTTGTCCATCTCTCATGGATAAATATCTTTTAGATGAAGGACCATTCATGATGCATCTAGAACAACAATTTTGTAGAATCCAATATTTGTTTTACTATGCCTTTTGTCCTGATTTTGTAGGATTGGGATTGTTGAGAGCTGATTGATTCCTTTTCTCTCATCTGATTAATTGACTATACTATGCAACTTGACACACGTGTTTTATTATTATTATTATTATTTATTTTGCTTTGTTTTGTAAATAGGGATAAAAATAAATAAATCAAGGATATGTTGCGCTAGTGCAGTGTTCAGAGTAACTCCAGTTACAGATTGAATTGGATTGGTGGCATAAGACTGATGTTGTATTGACAAGATAAGTTGGGAGGTTATTATATTAATATTCAAAATTAAATTAACAACCAAGACATGTCACCTAGTAGTGTTTTTTTTCATGAGTTATTATGGTATGAATGAGTCCATGGATCATCTCTTTTTTTCTTTTTTTTTTAAATTATTTTTAATAATCTCATTTTATATTATTTTGGGTCATCTTTTTCTTCTCTTACCTTCTATTACCACTTATCTTTCATATATGAATTTTTGGTTTAAATCCCCAAGTGTATTATAGAAATTGTTTGTCAATTAAAAAAAATTCAAAAGTAATTACCTTTTTGCAAAACTTTCAGTGACCAAACTTAGTGATGTATATAACCCTAGCCAAATATTTTCTCAAATTCAAACTATGCATATGAAATGAAAAAAAAAACAAAGAAAAAAAAGAAAAAGAAAAGAGGAAATAGAGAGATTTTATTTGGTTTGATTTGTCTAAATCACTCATATATGTACATATCTTTGTGTAAAATTTTCAGCTTATATAGCTACATATATCTTGTAAGGAAAATTATATTCTTTGCGAGTGTTGACCCACCGACTACATAGAGTCTCTTTGTGGACCCTACCAATTATAGTGGGCTCACAAAAGCGTTGTTAGTATTAGGTGAAGTAACACAGGCAATTAATGATAGCAAAACTCGTCCAATTGAAGGCAAAACATACACCATTATAGAAAATTTTTGGATCTAGACCACGTTATGTTAATCAAACCAACAACTGAAAAGATTCTCATAAATTTTAGATGATTGAATAATCGTCGAATTTTCTCCCGTGACGTTTGGGTTGTAGAATCCTTTCTCTTACTCTCTGTGTTACTTACTGTTTATATTTTCTGTGTAACATTCACCAAATTTAGAGAGAAAACAGTTGATATAAAAATCTGAGGTTAGAGATGAGGATCCAAAATCCAATTGAATAGACACAGATCATCCATTTACTTTACAAAATTATTATAATTGCATTCTAAGATTCAAAAATTACGACAAGGTTTTATCTTACTAAATAATTACATATAAATCCCTCCAATACCTAAGAACCATAAGTAGCCCCAATGAAAATAAATATTATCCCACCTAAAGCATACATACTTCTTATATTTCTTGAGTAACCAATTTAATCTTTATGATCATTGAATTAAATTCTTTTATAAAAGAATTTTTCAAAATAAATCTTTTTTCTAAATTAATAATCAAACTTGTTAAATTGTATTAAGGGGATATTATAACTCTTATAAAGAGTATGGATTCCATATTGAATATTTATGTTTTTAGAGCTCCAACATCAGCCACCCAAGATAATGTGGTATGGACCTTAAAAGATCTTACACATTAGTAAGTCAAAGTGACAAGTACTGAAACTTGGGTTCACTAAACATCTCAACATTTAGAACTTAATGCATTTAGTAGATAAGAATCATACAAAAATAATGAGAGTAATTTGTATGGTATGATCTTATGGTGATCCAGTTTAATGTTATAATACCCCGTGATTTTAAGGGATTTTTAAAATGGCATTATTTAGATTAATTGGTTAATTTCATTATTTTAAATTGTCTTTATGTAAATTTAATTAATTATTTATGTGCATTAAATTGTGTAATGTTTTCTAAATTGTTAATGTGAATTAAGTGTTTTATTATTTAATGTTTTATTAGTTTAGTTATTTATTTGCATTGGGCTAAATTTATTACCTTGGACTACAGGATTTGGATTTAGTATAATTGTCCATGTTATTAGAGGGCTTTAATGGCCTGTAGTTGAACTTAAGCCCATGTATCATATTGTTATATGTATTGTAAATTATATTATATTAACTGAGTATTATTAGAGTTTATGTTATTGTAACGGTTCGATTTCTGTGGATCCGAATCTTAGCGGGTCCTTACTCAAACTCGGGGTCAACTAAGGGCAAAATGATCATTATGCACCTTAATATGTGTTCGGAATCATAATGAGGTTATACTAGTTATTTATAACAAAATTAGATGATTAAAGAATGGTAACTCCATCTTCGGGTTCATGCCAGAACCCTAGGCTCATGAGGGGTAAAATAGTCATTTCAAGTAAAAATTATGAAATGAGGTTGATGCCAATGGAAATTTGGCTCAAAATTCATAAATCTAGACTCAAGAATGACTTACTTTGGGTTAGAAACAATTAAATTATGATTGTTTGAAGTTTGGTCAACTTAATTGATTTTGACAACCTCAAGATTTTCTAAGTTGTAAAATCCAATCAATCAGACCAAGAGCAGATTTTGGAGGGCTTTCAAAATTTTCTAAGTATGGGAAAATCCGATCGAACGGGTTAAACCCAGAAAATGCATTAATGACCCCCTTTTTGTTATTGTTCTATCATCTAAGTCATAAATTAGTCATTTACACTAAGGCAAACCTGTCCCAAAATATTTATTTAATTGAAAATAACGGAATAACGTACATGCACTGATGAATGCTGAAAAGTACGTATTTAAACTTATTAAGCTTTTTATCTATCTTACTTTACCGTTTTATATTGATTTCGTATTATTTCCATTTTCAGGCACTTATCCCGAAAATAAGCTAACTCAGCCAAATAAGAGCTTAATTGAAGCAATTCTGGGATTAAACAAAGAAAAGAGCAAAGTGGAGAAAGAAGAAAATAAATGAAGACAAAAGTGGGATGCAGCAAAGTTCGATCGATCCAAGTTCAAGGTTCGATCGATCGAACAATGATCGATCTCAGTACTTCAAGATAGATCCAAGCCTAGACCCAAAAGCATAAAGTCCAAAAGTTCGATCGATCTAACACCACCCTTCGATCGATCGAACACTTTTGTCCTTATTCAAATGATTGATCCTATCCACAGCTGTACCACTCACTAACCACTTTTATCCTTTTCCCATAAATATTTCTCCAAAATATCTCGGATTTGTCTTTTCCCAAAAAGCTCAACCAGTTGGATCGATCTAGCCTAAGTTCGATAGATCTCAGCCAGTTCGATCGATCCAAGTCCAAGGTTCGATCGATCGAACTTCCTCCAGTGCGAAAAAGTTAAAATTCCATCTCATTGAAAGTTGTCCTTTATCCAATTATTAGGGAATATTGTGTGCACGACCCCAGCTCATTTTGGGTATCATTTTGACCTACCTATATAAGGATAAGGATTGCTTTTTAGAAAAGGAGAGCCAACATTATTTTCATATCATCTCTTGGAGAGCAAGCTTAGAGGAGGAGGAGGCTAGAGACACCATTGGAGTTCTTCATCAACAAGGAGTAGATTTCAACCATGGAGTTAGCCCTTGAGGGTTGAAGCAATATCACCATGAGTGGCTAGACATCCTCTTGGGGCTAGAGTTAGCCCCAAGCATGCTTTCTATATCTTAATCTTGTGTATTATTGAGGGATTAGTATTGTAATTGATGTTTTAACACTTTGATATATATAAATATTGTTTATTCAATGATTTATGTGGTTTAATGCTTCTAATTGATCATTTCATTCTATCTATATGTCTATATGCTAGAATAGATGTTCATGTGCTTGTCTCTAAATTTTGTGTTATTGATGCATGTCTATGTGTATTGATGCTATAGATTTGGAGATTGTCAAAACATAGTGCTTAAAGGAATGCTCTTGTGATTCTTTTGATGGTTCATGCTTATTCCTTGATGGATTGTGCCTCTCCCCTAGTTTATTTTCATGCTAGTAGTGTAGATGTAGTGTAATTGTAGTGTAGTGTTAAATGGGAGGACAATCTATGCTTGTTGTTTGATGATCCAAGCTTTTGAATGCAAGTAGTATATGTCTCTAACCTTGTGTTGTATTTGGATTGTGAGCTTAATGAAATGATTAATGACTTGTTTTGATCTATTGTGCCTTTCACATGTTGCTTAGACAATATATGTTTCATTGCTTAGATATATTGTGCCTTTTACATGATGTTTAGACAATACATGCTTAACTAGTCATCCTTACTTGTAGAATCAACCAAACACACACACACACCAATATTGCAACACACCATTTGCCCTCATTAATCACTTGTCAATGATATAGAAATGCATCGCTTGGTGGTGATCTCTAAACCCCAAGATCTCTCTCTCTCTTACTTACTTTTAATTGCATTCATTTGCTATCACTTAATTTAATTTAGTTGTTCTTTAATCTACCAACCAACCAATTGTTTGATCACTCGACCTACTAGCCCTAATAACAATTCCATGACATTGCTCGATCCTCATAATCCCTTGACGATCCCTACTCGCCCTAACTATATTTATAGTGAAAGGTAGTAGTGACTTCTATAAATGAAAAACTCTTAGCCCTCGCCTTAAAATTCACACTCTCAAA